CCGAGTGAAAGAGGCTTCCTGTGGAGCCTCCATATTGCCTAAGACCATAGGTGAAATCCTGAATCCCATTCAGTATCATCTGAGGTGGGAAATTTCCACTTGAAAGGACCAAGTAGACCAGCCTGGAGTGGCTAGAAGAACAGAAGATACTTCATGAAAGAAAGACTGGCAAGAAAAACAGTAACAGCAGTCTGATTGACTACTACAAAAACAAGCAAGCTGTTAGCCCGGGAGCCATCAAGGCAATTGGTCAGGTCCCTTCAGGACAAACCCTCTTCCAAGACTAACATTCAGGGGGAATACAGATCATGTTGGTCATTGGTGAGAGGAAGAGGGAGAAAAACCGCAATGAAGCTGCGAGCTAAGCCCTACAATGTTCAATAGACTCCTGTGAACCCGGGTGGAGACCTGGTTGGCCAGCAGTGTGGCAAGACCCGGAGCCTCCTGGGCTCAGAGGCAGTGACGTGGCCACAGAAGACTAGAGTGGAGAGTGAAGCATCCAGCTGATATGAAATGATGGCATATGCACAACAACACTCATATCTGCAGATAATACCCAACTTTAATGGCTGGATGATCAGAACTTCACTAGAAGAAGAAAGAAGAGGAAAAAAAGAGTAACCCGCTATAATTAGATGAACTTTACCTATACTTATTGATGTAGTAGCTCAAAAAGGTAAATCTTTACAGCGAAGATCACTCCCACCCCCTTAGTACACAGGGTTGACGGGGATGGGCAACTTAAGACACTGGCTACCCAGAATGGAAGGGGCTACAAAGGCAAGAAGTGACTGGCTTATAAGCTTTCAAGAGGAAGCCTAGTTCCAGATGGGGTGGGGAAAGGTAGAATCTCCACTGAATGATTTCCAATCTGTTGGGATGGGGCTAATAAAGGAGGTGGGGATAAGACTTGTGCAGTACAATGGTGAATAATTTCTATCAGGACTGACTGAGGGTTGGAAGTGTAAAGGTAGATGTTTTGTAACAAAAGGAGGGGAGTGACTGATTTTGCAGTTCAGGAGCGGAGGTCCCTGAGACCATCAAGTAAAAAGAGCGGAATGTGGGACCCTACTCAGAGAAGTAATGATACCAGAAATGGAGGCAGAGATGACGACCTGGCCAGATGGAGCGGCTGGACTCAGGGATGGAGAGGGGTTATGTGCTAATGGCTGAGGGCAGGCAGGCCTGTGGGGTGTACCCTTTGGTTGTGTGATGATGCATGGAGGGGAATGTAATCATTGCAGTGAAATACAATAGGATAAATGTAAAACTGACATTCTCCCATGCAAACCCACATAATTCACAATAAAAACTTCAAAAACACATTTAAGTAAAGTTTTTACTCCACTGACCATGGGGTTTACATCAATTTTACCAAATGAATTTGGTCTTTGCCCTCAATTCCTAAAATACAACCTAAAAAAAAACCCTTAAAATGGAAGTGTTTTTGATAAGGACACCAGACCACAGCTAGCTAACGTATGTTAGGTAGAGAGATGAGATGATGAGATATGATGAGTTAGAGCTGGCTGAGCCAGAAAGACCCACCACATAACATCTCAAGATTACCTCTTGATATCTACCAACCGTGCAGATAGAGGCTAGAGTTTGCATTGTGTAAAGAGAACTCCAATAAAAGCTGTGAACAAGGAAGCGCCTTGGGCTTCCTGGTTGGTAAAGACCTCTAATAAGAGAGTTGTTAAGTGCTGGAAGTCAGTTCTAAGTCATAGCGACCTGTACAGAGTTTCTGACAAGCAGAAGGTGGGTTTGACCACCAACCTTGTGATTAGCAGCTCAGTGCTTATCCTACAGCGCCACACCAGGACTCCACATGAAAGAGTAGCCCTTTTGGGGACATAGAAACTCCATATTGGAAATCATGCAAGACCTTCCTTATGGGGGAAAAAATTCTGTGTTTGTGCTTGAGGATTACAGAAACAGTGAACAAAAGGAGAGACAGTGAGCTTCTAAGACCATATATGATGTCTTGAAAGCAAATATGCCATACTAGGATTACAAGTAGTTTGGCCTTTGTTTCTGGCATTTGTGAAAGAACCCTTAGGTGGGCTACCCTGGCCACAGCTGAGGATTTATATATTAATGATTAGCAGCCAGTGTGCAAATCCACGTGGTTACCAATAATGACAGTATGAACTGGATGATTAAAAACCCGTGTCTCAGCGGTCATCATGGACAACCTGCAAAACACAGTCCCCAAAGAAAAAGTTCTACATCCTATTTTGATGACTAGCTGTTGTTGTTAAGCTACTGGGGTCTTAAACACCTGTGAGCAATTAGAAGGTCCTGAATAGAACGGAGAAAACGTGGAACAAATCTCAAAATCATAAAAAAGACAGTGCTTATTGATCAGATATAAATGGGCAGACCACCCAAAACTATAGTTCTTAGTCACCTTTACAGTCTGGAAATGAACTCACCCAAGGCTCAATTTTCAACCCAACAATAAAACAGGGCTACAAGGTGACAAATACCAGGGAAGTAAGCACTCCTTAGGAGAAAGACCCAGCAATCTGCTTCCATAAAGAATACAGCCAAGAAAATCCTGTGGGCAGTTCTAAGTTCTACTCTGTCACATGGAGTGTATGAGTCAGAATTCACTCAGTGGCACCAAACAACCGAACAATATCCTACCTCGCTTACTGAACTAAAATGTTCAGCATTTTTGTTGAATGAATCTGGATGTGTGGTACCATTAAGTTCTAAAGATATGAAATAATTAGAGATGTTGAGAAAGACTTAGGACTTTATAGTAATTAAAT